TGACATCCCTTAGTTTGGTCTGAATTTCTTTTGGGACAATTATTTTTTTCCCACATACATATATGAGAAAAATACCCTATAGGGATTTTTCCCTGTAAGGGGACAGAGCACAGTGAACCTTCCTTTTCAGGTTTTCAAGGAGACTGACAAGCACTGTCACAAATCCCAGCTGGCTCTGAATGTGCCAGGTGTGGGTTGTTCTCCTCCTGGAAGCTCTCCCTGTATGTTCTCAGTCTGGGGTTCAGGGACACCAAGCTTGCCCTCCTTATAGGCGCCTTCTCAGCCTCTGGTGGGATTGCTTGATTAGCTGTCTCTCTGCCTCTGCACTTGACCTTGGGAGATGGTGACTGTCTAATTTTCCTTTTTATCCTCCAAGCCCAGCATAGTGCCTGATGACTCCAAAAACAGTCCTGTCATGAATCCTTCCTGCAAGTTCTAAAATAAAGATCACCCCTTGACCCCAGTGGTGTCAGGAATGAATCTGGGTCACAGCTCTGGCACTACCTTACCTGTATCTTCAAGTGCAGCTTGCAGAGATTCAAGGTGTGTTGAGCATCCTGTCAAGGACTAAAGGAAGTGAGTGAAAGTCTTAAGGGTTTCTTTAGAAGGAGATTTTGTGGTCCATGATTCTAAGTGCTTTTTTTTTTTTTTTTCCTTTTTGTCTTTTTTACTGACCGGCAACGGGATCGCAACCCTCGGTGTCGCGCCCACACTGCGCTCAGCCAGTGAGCGGGAACCAGTCTCCACATGGGATCCAAACCCTCGGCGGGAGCGCCGCTGGGCTGGCCAGTGCGCCACTGGGCTGGCCCCTAAGTGCTTTTTAAAGCTTCTGAAAATTTAAAAATAAAATTTGTAAATTCTCAAGTTTGTTACACTGCTGTCCTTCCCTTCAGGGATCAACAGATATCTGTGAATGCCTGAAAGTCTTCTGTGCTTTCCTTCCAGCCCCCAGGACAAATGGGATACTGAGCAAGGGTCACCAGCATGGGTCCTGGAGGGATATAGAGCTCATGCCCAAGGGGTGGGAAGGGTTTAGTGGAGGGCCAGAGGTGTGGGCAGGGATAAGGGGGACCAAGCGGGGGAAGTATTGCTTTCTGGAAGGAGTTGCTGCAAACCCGGGGCCTGAAGGCATGGGAGGCAGGGGCATCATGGAACCCAGCGAGAGTGGGACCGTCCGAGAGGGCCCGACCACAGCTGGGGAGATCTGACCTTCAGACTCATGCTGGCACCTCCTGTTCCCAAATTCAACCAGGAGCCAGAGGCAAAGGAGCCCAGTTGTAGGGTTAGGCCATCAGGGCACAGAACAAGTTGGAGGAGAGTGGAGTAAGTTTGGAGGGCAAAGGAGAACATCATCCCACCTTCCATCCAGACGTCGTGACAGAGGCAAGTGTGACATCTACAATTGCAAGTGTGGAGAAGGAGGCCTTAGTCACAGGCCTATGGTCACAGAATCTGACCTTGCCACCCCACCCTTTGAGAGTAGGAATATCCCAGTAGTTGTGGCCATCTCTAATCCAAGAAACTTGAAAACACCTGCACCTCATAGCTTTGAACTGAAAGTCATCATGACAAGACCGTTTTTGTGGCCCTGCTCTTTCAAGGAACATTCTTCCGGCTTCCCGACTCTCCCCATTCCTAATTCATTCTCTGCCCCACTCCCATCATGCGCTTCTGTACCTGGAAAATTCCGGACCACCCAAAACTCTTCTAAGAGCCCATTTGAGAACACTTGATTTTCTGCTTTCCTGGGTAGCAGGGCGCTGCTGCTACGGCTCCAGATGATGAATTTATTCGTGGTGGCAGGTGTATTGGATGAAACTAAAGAGATTGGAAAATTATGTAAAATGTTGGAGAATGTATGCGCTTGTGCTTACACTTAATTGGCCCATTTTGAAAAGTCCCTGATCTCTGAAGCCAAGACAAAGTTTGATGTCTCAGAGGTATACGTTTAAATATTTGAGATTCAGAAGAGCGTGATTCAGTGTGTTTTCACCCATCTTCACCCGCTCCGTGCTATGTCTCCAGTATGCAGGCATTTTCCCATTTCCTTCGTGATTTAAATGGTGACAGTTGCACCCGCATTACAGTCTTTCATCCTGAGTCATTTGGAGATATTATCCAGAGATAAGCAATCAATGGCGTCTTTGTTTTACAGGTGGAGAAATTAAGATATGCATAAATTAGACTGAGAAAAGGTAACATAGACCCCCCTATTTTCTTCTCTCGCCCCCTTTTTTCTTCCTCAGTGGGGTTTCTATCAGCAGTACTCTTGACCTTTTGGGCCTTTGCTCTGGGGCTGTTCTGTTCACTATGGGACTTTTAGGAGCATCCCCGGCCTCTACCCACTAGATCTCCCCCAGCCCCTGCACACACAAGTAGTGACAATCCAGAGTGTCTCCAGATATTGCCGAATGTTCTTAGGGTTGGGGGTGGGGGCAGGGAGTTAAATTACTCCCTGTTTAGAACCACTGTCTTCCAGCAGAGCATGAAGGTACTCCAAAAAGTTCATGGAAGGATTTGAATTTTTACTTCTCCTTTTCTATGAGCTTTTTGAAGTGTCCTTGTATTTGGAGATCCTGGGCATCGGTGGTTGTGAATTAATTGGTCTGAAGTAGGGCAGTGACAGAGGGTAGATTTTAAAAATCTTTTGTGTGTTTCTGATGTACCACCAAGGTTAAGAATCTCAGTTTCAGAGTTCAAATTCCAGCCGTCTGAGCCGCAGTTTCCCAATCTGTGATATGGAAATGATGATACCGTACCTGTCTCATGCAACTGTGTGACTTGAATCTGGTAATCTGTGTAAAATATTAAGCACGGTGCCTGGAATGTAGCAATTTGCTGGACACATATCAGCTCTAATTATGCGTATTACTCCTCCCCTCCTCCTCCTTGGTACCCAGGTGTAAGGGGTGAGGCCGGAGACTGCGGCACCCACCGGGACTGGGGGCTGGGATTTTAATTTCGAGTGTGGAGCAGCATGTGTAAAGGAACGCGAGCAGCGGTGGCAGCCAGGCTCAGGCACTGACAGTCGGGAGCGAAGGGGACTCTCCACAGAGGATGAAGAGCAGGTGCAGTGGGTGGTGTGGAGCAGCATGTGTAAAGGAACGCGAGCAGCGGTGGCAGCCAGGCTCAGGCACTGACAGACGGGAGCGAAGGGGACTCTCCACAGAGGATGAAGAGCAGGTGCAGTGGGTGGGAGGCTCTGAGATCCTGCCATGTGGCGAGCCCACAATTTCAGGGTTTCTGAGAAAATGAGGCTCTGAATGAAGCTGAAGTCCAGCTTCTGGCACTGCGCAGTCAATTGGGGTGAAGGTC